AAGGAGTTGAGACCCAGTCTTGGACCATGCTCCAGCACCCTTGGCCTCCTTCGAGGAGCACTCACACTGAGGAGCGTTGTGGTTGCCCCCTGCATTAACTAAAACTGCTCCCACATTCCCAAAATGGCCTCTGCCTGGAACATTCAACCCCGCTGGAAGTCATGCATTGTAAGACAGTGGGACTAGAAACCCATCTTTCTTTGCCTCCATCCTTATTCGGCCCCAGGACTAGGAGAATCTAGCACCCTTTTCTTCATACGCTTTTCCTGGGTGAAGGATTTGTCTTCTTCCGGGTTCCTTGCAGTCACTGATGTGAGAGGTGTTCACAGTGGTACCCTACCACATCCCAGCTCTGCCTCTTCCTCTCTACCTGAAGCCCACTCGGCCTTGCCCACCAATTCCAACGGACACTGACTTATCCTTCTCTTGCCTTGGAGAAGCCGCTTGTGGCTTTGTTCTTTGTTGTGCAGAATTCATCAAACTGTGACTGTGACTGACATCCTCAAAAATCAGGGATTTGTATTTTATTAGTCCACAAAATACGTGAACTTCAAATCATCATATTGCATATGAGAGTAACACATAATTTTATCTGTAAATTTTAAAAAACTAAATGCCATATATAATAATCAGTCATAGTGTATGCCAGTTATGACACCAAAGTGAAATTGAAGGCCCCCTGGAGTTTCAAACTTGATCCCTTTAGTTTCTATATATTGGAGAAGCATAGAGAATCCCCGGGGGAGGAGCCACACAGTTGGAACAAAAGAGTCATCAACCAAACAGCGGGGACACTGGCCCAGCCAGGACAGATTGTGGCTGTGAATAGTGTTTGTCCACCCTGGCACATATCACCTTAATATATATACTGCTGGCAGCCAAAAAATAATGTAAGAGACAAATGGTTTTTAAAACATACACACATACACACACAAAACCAGGGAAATGATTGCTAAAATGTGGGTTCAAGGACATCACTCTGAAAAGGTACTCTGTGGGATAGCCACATTCCACACGAGAGTCTCTGCTTTTGAGTCCTAGCTCAGGTCTGATTCTAGCTTCTTGTTAGTGCACATGCTGGGAGACAGCAAACACTTGAGTACGCTCCACTAAGATCTGAGTTTAGCACTGGCTCCTGGCTTTGGCCTGACCCAACCCAATCTGTTTTTGTAGTTTCTGGGAGATCTAAATAAATTATTGTATTATTTTAAAATTATTTTATATGCTATTTATATAGTTGGAAGGAACCAAGGTTAGGGAAAAGTGGGTGTGATCATTATTTCCAAACTTTCTATTTTTTCTTCCTATTTCGGCGGGTGGGGGGACGGAGAGGGAGATAAGAGGAGAAGCCATACCCAGCCTCCTAACCATCCCAGTACCTGAGAGTGGGAAACAGCCACCCAGTATCAACCCAAGGTCCCAATGTGGTGCATGCTCTGAAGGTTCTTCCTAGGTGGATGTGATAGTTCTGAAATGCTGTTGATTTCGCCAGTCTATGGATAAGGAAACCCTTCCAATGTCCATTGGCTGACACAGTCCACCTTAGAATCTCCATCCACCCAGATATTTGCTGTCATCATTTGACTGTGGTAGTTGTCCATATATGTTCTATTCTCCATTCTCTGCTATGGTACCAGATGTCTTCTGCAAGCCCGAATGGATCACCATATCCTTTATGTGCACCATGGCCTGCCATCTAGCACTCCATACTTTATACTGAGCAGGACCAGTTCTCACAGGAGGGCTCATGGACCCCAGGCCAGGCAACCTGGATCCTGTCAGACCCACAACCCTGGCACTCACAGACTCAGCACCTACCATGCAGGTGAACCAAAGGATCTGGACCAGGTGACCCGGGACCCGGTGGACTCCTAGCCCCCCGGGGTCATGGACCCAACACCCACTGCACAGGTGGGCCCAGGGACCTGAGCCAGGAGACCCAGGCACCTCTGAACCCCTTATCCCTGGGGCTGTTGGATCCAGTACCCACCAGGCAGATGGGCCCAAGGACCCAGGCCAGATGACCCTTGGGGCTCACCGATCTGATACCCGCTATACAGACAGGCCCAAGGACCTGGGCCAGATGGCTTAGGCCCTACTGGACATCCTGCCCTTGAGATTCACACACCCAGCACCCACTGTGTAGGCGGAGTGAAGGACCTGGGCCAGATGACCTGCACCCCACCGGATCCCCACCCCTGGGGCTCATTAATCCAGCATGTACCTTGGAAGTAGGTCCAAGGACCCAGGCCAGGCAACCTCTAAATAAATAATTTTAACAACTATTTCAAACTCCTGATCAATTCTTTTCATTTGCAAGCACCGAAACTGAAGAAATCTATATTTACACAGCCTGTCAGAGGGACTTCAGTATAAAGTGGCAATTAAAAACAACTGCCTTCATAAGCTGGTAGATGTCCCAACTGGTTTTCAAATGCTTCAATGTGGGAGCTGCTCATTAATGCTTGAAAAGTGTCCATGACAGTACATGGTTGGGGTTTTCAGTTTTCACTGTCAGGAACCTGGGACTAGAGGGTAATAAGGATTATCTTTGGGGTTTTAACTGCCTGCCTAAACTTAAAGAGCCAACCCTTAGTCCAGCCTTGCTCTTGTATTGAGTCTCCCTCAGTATCTTGGGAAAATGTTTGTAAGAAATTCCCTCACACACAGAAAGATACTGTACTCATCCAATGCTTAAGTCCCTTGAATGACATGATATATGATATTTATTATTCCTAGAATAAGCATCTCCACTTTACTTACTATGCTTCATCAATGTAGTTATTATAAAGCAATTTATTTTTTTCAAATATTTTTGATTTGCATTTGGTTAAAAATGAAGATTTTAAACAAAACCTTCAACCTTTAAACCTTTAAAGATTATTGCTCTGAATCTTATCTTATCCAGAAATCTTGGAGCAGTGGCATGCCAGAGACAGAAAGATGAGCAAAAGTGGTCTCTGTTCTCAAGGGATATCAAACTTAATAGGCCATAGGAATAGAACAGTGGCTAGCTCCATAGTAATAAAAGCATATGAAAACTACAGAAACACTGACAGAGTCTGGAAACTTAATATCTCAGCTGAGCTAAAAAAAAAAAAAAAAGAATTAGTTGGGGAAGGTGCTTTTGGCACAGTGAAGACACCGCTTGGGATGCCTTGTATTCCCTATCAAATGCAGTGGAGATGGAGCCCCCGGTCCCCAGCCTTGCATATATCAGGGGGAGAATGGAAACACTCCTGGGACAGAACAATGAAAGTAGTCCTTCCGGGTCATTCTCTTGCCTCTTTGCTCAACCAAAGCCTCCCACTGTCTGCAGTATGACAGGTTGCTGTGGCCATCAGCGCTGCAGTCTAGATGTCCTGGCTCTGTCGCCATACTCATTCTAGGCCAATAGTCTCATGTCTGTTATCTGTATGCTTTCTGCCATGACCTAGAATGCATAGACACAGGATGTAACATGTGTAAAATTGAAACACAATTTTCATGAAATCCTGGCATTTATTCCAATATTCCATTTCTATTCTTTATGTTAAAAGAAAAAAGAAGGAGAAAGATGGAAAGGCTGTTTGGATGGGCTCCTACACTGAGCTCTGCATCTCTCATCCAGTGAGTAACAATTCACAGTTTAACAGAAGCTCTTGGATTCGCAGCCTAGTTGGGAAGTTCAAAATGCACCACATTGCTGTTGCTAAGAATGTACACTCTGGGAACAAGTCACTGAAATCAAATCCTTGTTCTCCCACTTAATTTCCATGTTTATTGCAAAAGTAGGACAATAAGAATACCTACCTCTGATGGTTGGTGTGAAGGTTCAATGAGCTAATATGCATATGCAAAAATACAGAAAATTGCCAGGACTGCCTAAGTGTTAGCTGCCACCATCATTGTCATCTTTTATCTAAAATTAAAATAAAGCTAAATTTCAGTATCACTGGTGAGAAAAAAAATGACTAAACCAAGGGTTTATTTTTGACGGTGTACAAAGTCATACATTGCGTGGTACAGGGTGTGGAGATGCTCTGAGACCTGGGCCAGATGGGCCCCCACCCTTCCTGATTATAGGACAACAGCAAGGACTTCTCTGCCAGCCGTGGTTTTGTTCCTGGAGAACAGGACTTCTGGACCTGAATCAACCCTCTTGCCTTCCACCAATAAACACTTGGCTTCCTTGCTCAAACTTTAGTGACCCACCTAGAATTCCAACTCTCTCAAAGGAGAAAGATATCTGCCATGTATGAGTGCTGCTATCTGCCTCCCTGACCCACTGATATGTCAAAATCTAACCTTCAAGTGAAATAGATTTTAACTAAAGGACTTACTTTAAAAATGTATAGAAATGCATATCCTAAACACTGTGAGTTTCAAAGGTTTGGGGCACTGATATAAACTTACCCTTTAATTTCATTTTTCTATGGCAAAGTGCCTTCCTAGTATTAGGAGCCAGGACCTTTGGGAGACCGTTAGACCATTAGTGCTCTGATGAAAGGGGCTGGAGGACGTCTTTGATACTCTCTCTGCTGTGTGAGAAGGCTAAGTGACAAGCAGACAGCAAGTCCCCACAAGATGCTGAACTTACTGGCACCTTGACCTTGGACTTTCCAACCTCCAGAACCCAGAGAAATAAATTCCTATTGTTTACAGATTACTCAGCTGGAGGTGTTTTGCTACTGCAACCCAAGCAAACTGAAACAGTGTCCTTCCTTCAATGCATCTTGAAGATCATATTAGAACATTCTGTAGAAAGGAAGAATGAATTTCTTTTCACATCAGTGTAGTGCATTCAATTTAATGTGGGACACCTCAAAGAAGAGGTCCAGCTGTACCAAAGGCTGATGTCATTCAATCCACCTTGCCCTGCACCTCAGATGCTTGGATGACGAACGTGAAGAAAAAAAGAGGCACCTACTATCAGGTGAGATGAGCAAGAGGCAACTATCCAATATATTCTCCCCATCCCCAAAGGACAGCCAAGAAATGAAGACTGGAGACTCGGAGTAAATGGTTCATTGGTCATGATCAAAAATGATGGTTAACACATACATACACTCAAACATCATTCCACCTGCTGCAAGGCGGAAACCACACCTCCGGATCCCACACCCACTCGTGCCAGGCTTCTCCTGTGGGCCCTGCCACTACCGCCACCCTCACTCAGAATTCTGCCCTTCACTCTGAACCTCTGCCTTGGTTCTTATCTTTCTTCGATGTGGTGCCTGAGTGCTCAGTGTCCAGGCAGAGATATGAAAATGGAGGATTTGGCCGGAGTCTGCAGTGAGCAGCGTAGCAATGTCCTTGAGTTCTTCTCCACCTCCATTTCCCAAATTCTCTCCTTCTCTCCCATCTCCCACCCAATCATTGTTCCCCCAGAAACAAATAGGATGGCTTCACTGGTCAATTCTTCACATGTACAAACACCAAAAGCAGTGGAAACGCCCCTTGGCCACCCCCCTCCCCCCAAACCCCAGTGCTGGGAGAGCAGCCTGCGGGAGAGGCTGCCTCAGGAGCTGCTGTAGCTGTCCGGCTGTCCTGGAAACGTCTTTGGCCTCTGGGCTTTACCTGGAGGCCTCTTCCTTAAGCTCCTTATTTTTCCGCACCTCCTCGGCATGCTTGTCCTGGGAAGGGAAGGAGGGAAAGGGGCAGGTCACACAAGGGGGCCAGGGGCGAAGGGAGGTTGAGGGGCAAGAAAATGGAAAACAAAGAAGGACCACTGCAGGAAGTGAGGAGCTGGGCCTGCAAAGGCATCCTGAGGGGCAGAAGGTGGCAGGTGAGATTGGTGCCAGGCAGGGGAGGGAGCCCCTGCACTGGTCAATCCCTCTCTGCCACAGAAGGACCACTCCACGGGGACCCCAGCATCCCTTCCATCACCTGGCCAGGTGAGCAGATGGCCTCATTACCAGCATATCCCGCTGCCTACTGCTGTTATTTCTTGTCTGTCTCCTTAGCAAAGGCTATCTTAACCTCCTTAGTAAAACATAAGACCTCTTAAGACACGAGTTGATGGAAGAATTTCTGTTTATATTGCCCAAGTCCAAAAAGTAAACTTTCTGACTCTTGTTTTGAACGAACCTTCTTTCCATCCTTCATTTCACAGCATAATCAAACCAATAGCTACAAACTGCTTTCCAAGGCCTACCAGCAGGTGAAGCTGATCCAGCCACTTCCTACAGGCCTCAGCCTTCTGATATTAAAAGTAAGGGGCATGATTGTAAACTCTGTCCGCTTCCAGCTCAGGGATGGCAGGGCTCACTTGCCAGGCTGCATCACAGTCCACCTGCTATTACTACTTCCTGTGTATGTGCCTGGATCCTCCACCAAGTGACAACTTCCTTGAAGGAGAGCCTTCCCTCTGTGTATCCTGCTTTCTATCACAGCATGTTACAGATGTCAGGTGCTCATGAAATTCTGCCCCCAGCAATGCTTGGCATAATCACATTCAGAAGCCAAGATCATTCTTGAGAATTCCCACTGAGGCAATATATGTTCTCAGGACACACCTTAAAATGCCAGTCTGTGCCTACAACTTTCCAGGGCCTGGGACTGTGGCATAACATGACCAGGGCAGTGGTTCCCTACTTTGGATATGCGTCAGCATCACTTAGGAAACCAGATGTCCTCAAGCACCGCCCAAAGAAAACTAGGGTGTCTGGTGTAGGGCCTGAATATTCTGTATCTTGAAAGTTTGCACAAAATGAGTCTAGTATAGACAGTCAGTGACCTGCACAGACACTGGCCCACAGGCATATCCAGGTTCACAGTGCAGAAACCACACGTTTAGCCCTCACCCAATCTTCTGCCTGTGCAGTGGGTCAAAGGCAGCAGGAGTCAGTTACAAAGGAATGATGCCCTCTGAAACATTTGTTTCCTTGAGCCTACCTCAGCTTCACATATAGCTCTAGAATGTAGACCTTTCCAATATCTCCCCCTCTGACGCCACCTCCACTCCCAGGAGAGCTCACCGCACAGAGCCCTGTGATTCTGGAATCCCTTTTCTTTCTCCAGAGCTTAGCTTCACTGACAATAGACTGGCAGGCTTACCAGAGGCTGTTCTGCCTGGGACAAGGCCGTGGAAGAGCTGCCTGTGCTTGGAGCAGAGTCACTGGTTCTACCCCAGCTTCACTGCTTCTTAACAGTGCAATCCTAAGCAATCCTCTGAAATGACCATTCTGCCTCTATGTGGAGCATTGTGGTATGATAAACAAAGTTTGCTTGTGCAAGCAGTCTTTCCAATGCCTTATTGCAGGTCTTGCCTTAATGATTTGTTCCAGGTTTGGTCTAAAAGACTATGTCCCATCCTATTCCAACCCCATATATGTTTTTTTTTTTCCCAAAAGTTTGCCTCAAGTCATCTTTGGGTATCTGGGGGAGCTGAATTCAGACTCAGATCATTTTGCTACCCCCATGGTAGCAGATGGAGACCCTGCCTCTCCTTTTGGAATAGCACATCTGGGAGCAGGAGCTGCCACATGCCAGCTCCAGAGCCTGCACAGCAGTAAGAGCCCTAGTGATGAGAACTGATCTTTCTAGCAGCTATTGTCAAGGACCTGAAACTTGGGGTAGATGATCGGGAAGGAGTAGGGACCACGCTGCTCACCATGGGACGAGGCCACCGATCGGGTCCCGGGAGTCACCGCGCAGCAGGCGGCTCCTGGAAATAAAACACAGAGCTGGAGCTCTCCCAGGAGCTGCAGGAGAAACTGGGGCGGCCTCGAGACTCAGGAAACGAGGCCAGTGTGTTCTCAACAGAACAGGCTGCCATTCTGCCGACACGGGGGACCGACCCCAGTCTCTCACGTTCCTCGTATTTAGGTGACACCATTTGGTGTATTGACAAAGGGCAGCACATTGGAAAGGCCTGTGACCTCCTGGGTCCATGCCGAGAGGTTCATGGAGAATCATGTTTTCTGCTCTATGGGACAATTCAGCTCCTCAGCCCTTCCTTGGCTTAGAGCCAAGAGCTCAAGGCAGTATCTTTCATTAAAGCAAATCAGCCCGATCACAGATGAAGCCAGGCTTGTGTAACTGCTTGTGCATCCTGCCCTCTTATATTAGACAGACTTTCTGACAATGGGACACTTTAAATGTGTCACTGTACAGAAGGGCCCACAAGGGTACTCAAAGCTGGACTCATGTTCCTTGCCTAGGACTTCCCAGTCATTCCCTCAGAACCCTCTACCAACAATCACCTGCCTACCAACCATCACAGCCAAGGCTGCCTGCTTCAGAAAACGGCACACAGCTCCCCGTATACTTGCCATGGAAGGAAGACGGTGTCCCAGGAGCCTCCACTCTCATCCAGGACTACTCACCTTCTCTTGCAGCCGTTCCAACATGGCAGCAAGGTGTGCCTCTCGATTCTCCTTGTTGGATTCCATCTTCTGGGCCAGTTTTTCCTTAGCCATCTTGATGAAGTTATTGTTTTCTTCAATGGCTTTTTGGATCACCTCCCGCTCATGTTCTCTTTTCTCTGCTAGATGTTTTAGGAGCTCGGCTTCTTGGTACTGGAAAAATACAAAGAGAAGGAGAGACCCTTCAAAATGAGTGTGCTGGGATGTGTTTCACCAGCATACCTATATCTGGAAAGGTCCCCAGCCCACTCGTAGGAAGCAAGGGCACTTACTGAATTCTTCCAACACCTTCAACGTCTTCCACATTCTTTGACTGTTTTTCAGGCTTTTTCTACATATCCTCAGGATTGTTTTTCTCATCACAGTCACTCATTCATGCACTCATGCATTAATTCACAAATACTAAATGATTTTTACTACATGCCAAGATACTAGTCTGTCAACCTGGGAAAGATAAAAATGTCTAGCAGAAATAAGATATATTTGAAAGAGTACTTCAGAAACTTCATGAAGCATTGTATTGAAATGTAATTCATGCATTTTTTGGTGCAAAAATGTTTTGAAATCTATGCATATGGGGTCTCTGTAAAAGTAGAAGATGTGCAATCTAAGAAACCGCATGAATTTCAATTTCTTTGCACAAAATTAGTGTATCTTTTAATTGTGTTTTATTTTCACACACTTTTTGAAGTAATCCCTTATTTATATTCAAAAAAAAGCCAAACTAGTGCTAGCATGTGCCTGAAGGGGTCAGGAAAAATTCAAGAGAGGGGAGAAGATTATTTTCTGCTTGAAAAACAAAGAAAGGTCCTCTAGCCTAGCAAGTTTGTGACAGAAAAAGAATAAATCAACTGTAAAAGAGCTTTAAAAAAAAAAAAGACAAACTTAACGCCAAGATGACATCAAAGTTGGACCATAAGAATCAAAAGAACAGAAAAGCATACCAAGAGCAAGAAACATATCCCATCATTATCTTCCTCCGTCCCTCAGTGAGGAATCCTTGTCCTTAATCGTCTAGCCTTTCCCTAAATTCTTAGTAATCATTAGCATTTTACTCTTGGTATGGCACACCTAGGGCACATGGTGCTGTGCCCATGCTCCCAACAATACTTGATGCTGCTGGGGCTCTTACTTCATTATTTCACTCAATGATGCCTCATTCTTCACTCTGCATATATGAGAAGGTGTCTAAAAATGTGTAACTCGACAATGATCTGACCCCAACTCACAGCATCAGTCTCGCTCCCACTCGCTATCCAATAAAGGAAGTCAGAAAGGGCAGCACTAACCTTCCTTCGCTCCTCAGCTGCTTCTAGTTTCTTCTGGATCTCTTCCAGGGATGGGTCTCGTCTCCGAGGTAGGGAAGCATTGAACTCGGGAACCCCATCAAAGGAGGGTGGCTTCAGGATGACCTCGAAGGACTGGCCTGAAGTGCACTTGTTCAGCTCGATGACTTCCATGTCGGAAATGACACACCAGTTCAGGTCCACTGTGTCTGCTGCAGAAAGCATGAACGGGCTGCTCAGCCCTTGAAGAGCAGATCCCCCCCTCCTTGAAACATGCATATAGATGGGAGAGGGCTGGGGTTCCAGGGTAAACCTGTGACTGGGCCTCTGAGATCTAAGGTCGGCAGGCTGGGATAGGAAGGCAGAAGGAGCCTTTGATCAAAGCAAGACTCCAAGAGTAGGGGTCCCTGGATCTATGAGTTCTGATGCTGGCCACAGTCATGCTAGCTGTGTTTGTTTTTTCCTCCCACCACCAGCATCCTCCTGCTTGCTTTGCCCTCACTGGTGTCAGACAGAGGTGCATTTTTCCACCTCCCACCTCCCATCCATTCCTCATCCTACTGCCCATCTGATGATGGTTTGGCCTCTGCACGCCTCTCCCCTGACTCCCTCCTACCCTCTTCTCTTCTTTCTCTCCAGTCAGCACTGTCTTTCCGCTGGCTTTGACCTTTCCTCCTACACTGTCTCCCACACCAGCCTAAACAGAAAAAATGGTCTCAGGTCAGCAGAGCACTGCCATCTCTTATCATTAGACCCAGCCTATCCCTTCCTTCCAACCAGACCATCAAGGGGTGACGTGGCTGGCCCCTGAACCCCAGCATGCCTATGCAGGGCTCCTTGCCCATGTCTCGGGATGGTCCCTACTGTAGCCCCTATGTAGTGCAGCTGTCTCAGAACTTTCTGGTGTGTCTGCATGTGGGAGCCTTCTCTGCACTTTTGGCTTTCCCAGATAGCCTGCAGCTGCACTGGGGAGCCCTGGAGCTCTTGGAAGCTGGTGGTACACACCCAGTCTCATCATCCCATCTCGTCCAGGGGTCCCTGCAGGAGACTCCCTGTCTGTTTGCTGTCACAGCTTCCACAGCATCCCTTTGCTCAGTGAGTGAACGCAGGTGTCACTGAGACCCCAACCCTCTTCTCAAATCCTTAGCAGCAATGGTGACAGGAAATGGGAGTGAGGGATGCTGCACCCACGAGCACAGGTGCCCACACCCGTTCCTTTCCGAACCGAGCCCTCACTGACCTTCATACTTGTAGGATGATTTGCTCATGGGGTCAGCCAGGAAGCAGGAGCAGAACAAGGACACCAGCGGCAGCTCCTTCATCTTCTCTTTGTAGGCTGCAGGGATATCCCGGCCAGGTAAGGACGGGGAACTTCAGCAGCATGGCCTTCTGGGCTCCACACAGGCACCCAGCCGCCCCCCGAGACCCATACCAAGACTAGGTTCCAGGCCCATTGGCCCGTAGTAATACTGATTAGGATTTCTATATGTAACTCCAACCTACTTCCATCCCCTCTTTCCATTTTGAAACATGAACCTTCCTGAAAGCCCAGCCACTGTCCTCCTTCTCCCAGCACGTCTCCCTCCCTTTCCTCGAAGATTATGCAACCCATCCTCAGCAAAGAAGTCCAGTCAGCACCCTCCCCACCTGGGACCCTGGCACCTGCCTTTTTCTTTCCACTCCTGCCCTAGATGGTTGCACCCTTCTGCTGTATAAAACAGGAAATCCACAAGGTTTAACTTATATGTAGCAGGATCTGGACAGGAGGGGGCGCCCTCACCATAGTCCCTCTGGCAGGGTCCCCTGGGCAGTGGCCAAGTCAGGCAGTGAGCCTTCCTGAGGTTCCCCGCACAGTGGTCAGCATGGAGAAAGAGCGCTCCCTGAAGGCCAGAACACAGCCTCATCACAGAGTCTTTCTGGGGTTGGGAGGTTGCAGGCAAGAGCTGTGAGGATCCTAGCACACAGAGATAATCTCAAGGGTGGGAAACTTGTGATTCCCACCCCCAACCAGGGATCACCTTCCTTAACACTTGGTGTGTGCCCAGGCAGCCCCTTGTTTCTATGCATTTGTGGGACACACACACACATACACACACACAAGTGCAGAGAAACAGGCAGGGTGAGGGGTTCCCATCACAGAACAGTCCCTGGACCTACCAGCAAGGGTCATGTTTGCTGAGACCTGGTGGTTGAATCCAACTGGAGGTCACAGGGTAGGAATGGCACCAGCTCAGGACTTGGTCACAAACCTGAGAACAAGAGAATACCAACAGAGTTTTCCCTGAGGAAGGGCCTTACATCACCAAGGAGGTCACCACAATGTCCCTTCCTGCTTTCACCTCTGCCTGCCAATTCTGTTTCCCAAACATTAACTCTCTTCCACATCACCCCTGTTCATCTCAGATGCTGTACACTCATGATTATTTCAAAACTGGCTTCCCCATCACAAAGCCCCCCAGGAAGCTGCAGAGGTGGGTTCCCCAGAATTGCATGGGCCAAGGGCTATTCATCTGTCTCTCTGTGCAGCTCAACAACCTGGCACAACGCAAGTCGTGGGAGACAAGCCTTCACTCAGTCAGAGGTCCCTGGGAGGAACTTGCAAAATGATTGCACATCCTGAACACCTCCTTGCACAACCCCTAGACCTTTCTCTGGCCAATTATGATATGGGACATGTCACAGATGGTGAGAAAAGTCTTCAGTCGCTTCCTTACTTTCCCACCCTCTAACGATACTGAAAGAAGCTCTGCCTCACTGTAGGAAAACAGCCTGGGGATAACACAATACTGATCTGAGCTTCTCTGAACTTTTTATCCAGTTTTCTGCTGATACACCTGGGAGTCAGTAGATGAGGGCTCAAGTACTTGGGTTCCTGCTACTCATATGGGAGATCCAAATGGAATTCCTGGTGCCTGATTTTGTCCTGTCCCTAGCTGTTGTGAGCACATTTTTTTTACAAAAAAAAAAAAAAACAAAAACAACAATGTGCTAAGAGGAGATAGACATGAAGAAACAATGAACAATGCTGTCATACTAGGATTTATGCAGAGGCAGAAATTGACATGCAGTGTTTTTGGGGACAGGGGACACAGACAAAACTCATTCTCATCGTGAGGCTAGAGGGAGCTGAGGAGAGGCCCTTGGGTGTTCCTAGTACCTGGGCTGAAGAATAAAGCAGAGTCAGTCAGTGTGCTCTTGGCCCCAGGATCAGCAGAGGCAAGGGTTGGGTGAGAAAGCTCAGCATCCATGCAGACATGTCCACACCTGGGGTTGATGCTGAACCAGAAAGTGGGAAGAGAGAAGAGAAACCGGAGAGGCCAGGAAGGAACAGAGTGGAGTATCTGTTGGATTGGAGGTGAAGGGCTCCGTGGGTAGCAGCTACCCAAATAATGAGGAATGGCCAATGCTGAGTGCCTGTCATTGAGACCTCTGAATTCTTGGCCACCCTTAGTAGTCTCTGTGCCAGTGGGGTCCGGTTTGAGCCAATAGCCTGGCTGTCTGTGTCCTCACAGAAAGGAACCAGAGACCAAGACAGAGACACTTTTCTTCCATAATGCAGGACACTTTGGGGACCAGAGTCATTATTGGTTCAACTTAAACTCTAGTACTAGACTAGTATGGTATAATACCCAATTAGGCTGTCACCAGTCACAGACCTTGCTTCTCTCTTAAATCTGTGGAGCTGCAACATTAAGTGAGCACAGCATCCTGTGCCCACGGGAAGCCCAGAGATTCCTGCCTTTTCCATCAGCTTGGTCTCCCCAGAGCCTGTAAGGAAGAACTGTCGTCCCCAACGTGCAGGTGAGGATGCTGAGTCTCAAGGGTGTATGCAAGTTGTTGAAGGAGATGTGGCTGGCAGGTATTATAGAATAGGCCAGAAGCAAAGGTCTAACTGGCCTTCAGTGACTCTGTTCCCATTGTTCTCATTGCTGTGTTTTGGAGTCCCAGGCCCTTGCCATACTCCTCCTCTTAGAGCACAATAGGTCTTTTCTGCTCTGAACTAGGCTGGTGTTGATGGTACCAGTGAGTTCCTGAACAGTCAGGCCTGGTGCCTGGATGTGATATCTCGGGCCAAGACACTGTCCCGTACCATCTCCAGACTGGCTGACCAATTGATTGGCCCTTACCAAAACAGACAACAGCCTTGGACTTTAATGGATGCTAACTGGAGATCAAAATAGGTGAAGGATAAGGGAGAGACAGAACACTCAAGAAATGAATGGGACTGAATAAGAGCTGCCATTTGGAATCAGGGGATGCTCTCTATTTCAGCTCGTGATGAAAAAATGTCCCCCTACTCACAGAACACTCAATCCCCACATGACTCAAACTGACCTTCACAAGAGCCTGAGCTAAGCTGACAAGGCAGGCATCACCAGCCTTGACATGAAGACCCAGAGAATCAGAAAAATTAAGATGCTTGGCTGAGTTCACACAGCTCAGAGTTGTGGAGTAGGATCTAGGATCCAGGTCTTCTGATTTGGAATTTCCTTGTTTGACCAGAGGAAAGATTGAATGTTCGTTACTGAGTGGGTCTTCAGTGGTCCTGAGGACTCAGTAGGAGCCAGTTCTGCTGGAGGCCATGATTTCATTAAAAAATATCTACTACATTCTTTCTATGTGGAAGATATAGGGGTAGGAGCTTTAAAAACAAAGAGAAGGTCAGAACTACAGGAAGAAGAGCAGAGGAGGATAGGAGATGTGGCAGGTCCAACCACTGCAGCCATCAGCAGCTGCCTCCACCAATCCACATTAAAGAGAAGTTAGAATCAGGTACCTGATGCAAATATGGAACCCGGTACTCCAAAGAGGATGTGAGTGTCTTCACCACTAGGACAAACACCTGACTTTGGTCCTGTCCCTACATGGCTAGCACAAAATGATTTAATTGACAGCATCACCTCAGGGAGAATATCGGAAGGGGAAGACCAGAATCTGTGTCTAGATTCAAAATGCTGTTAACCTGCCTAGACTGAGTTACGTTCCTCTGGAGTTTTGGCATCCCACTCATTCTTATTTACAACCTGAGTTAAGTATTTGCCCCCAGCTCCAGCACCTAAAAGTCTAAGAGTAAGGAGTAGCAAATAATCACACATGTTTGTTGGTGGATTGAACCATTGGCATAACTGGCCAAATGAATCAATGAGTGTGAATCCCATCAAGCAGAGAGGCAACTTTAGGGAGAGCAGTTACAGAATGAGGAAGCTGGGTGGGAAGATGTGGGATTGAGGCTTTTGACTAGGGAAGGCTCTCACGGTGGGAGCAGTGGGGAGAAAAAGATGTCTCAAGTGAGGAGTGAAAACCCCAGCTCTATAGAATACCAATGTGGCAGAGGAGAAGGGAGAGGAAATGGCAAACAAGTGGTGCTCCATTTGGGCGGTGTCACTCCTGGGGTTGATGGCTGAATTGGGGATGCTATAAACAGTTAGTGGAAAAGGACAGTCAGGCTGAGTGGATGACAATGAATGTGACAGGTTCACACAATGAACTGTCCCATCCAAATTATCAATACCTTCCTCCCATAGCAAGCTGCGGACAGAGATGGGACTAGATTCTAGGACTAATGTCCCTTTCCTTTATACTCAGCCCATTTCTCCTCCTGGATGAAAAGGAGCCGCCACATGGGAATCACCAGGGCTGGTGAAAAGAGGAGCCTGCAGAAGGGCATGTTCTTAAGGGATCCATGCTCTCCAGGGCCTCCACAATGCAGTTACTGACCAGGGAGCAGAAGAACACCAAGCTCTCATATGCCAGATATGCTGTAACTGGGTGCACACCTGGCCTTTGGGCATGTCTCTGACTGCACATGCTACAGAGTGAGAGAGTGTTTTATTTGTCCCTATCAGAATTGCCCAGCTATGGCTCAAAGGAAGTGTCAAATCTCAGGTGGACGATTTATGTAGGACAAGTAGCTAATGCATGTGCAAGCGGCTTTAAGGGAGCTGTGCCTGGCAAGGGCTTTAAAAAACAAATAAAGGTATGCTGACAGAGCAACAGAATGAGCATTTCATGAACACAAGAGCAAGGAATTCTGAGCCAGGGACACTAATCACAAGTGGTCCAGAAAGATGGCTCTTTAAACTGGAATATTACTATCAATCTTTTAAAGTCCCTCTTTTAAAGTTAGATATTTACCTGAAATAAGCTCCCCAAATGTCATGTTTCTTTGCCTTTCACTGGAATCGTTTCTGTTAGAATGGTAGGCCTGGTTACTTCAGGCACCTCAAAGTCTCTGATTGCCAGCTCTGTGTCTTATTTGAGTTGAAAATCAAAAGGAGATAAATTATTTTTTCATGAAAGTGGTTTTCATTCTATCCACAACAATTATTAAATATTTAATCTGTGCCAAGTCCTGTACAAACTCTCTTAGAAAAACCACAGGGGTTTTTGTTGGTGGAAAATGAAACAGGTCCCTGGTTGGAAATCTCAAGCTGTGGAACCTTTGCAAGTTCTGCAGTTGCGGCTCAGCCTTTGATGTGGCTTGCCACAGTAGTGTCATTCATGTCTGCAAGTGAAAAGGAAGGGATGTTAAAGAAAAAGAATGAAGATATCACAGCAAAGGAAACCAGGCAAGACAGAACACTGCCTGATTCCCTGGCGTTGGGGGGTGGTTACTCTCTAATTATTGTAGGCTTATTGCTCAGGGGTTCAAGAGGAAGAAATGCTGGAGATCCAGATCAAGAGCATCCCCCAGAGAGTACCTAACGGGTTTAAGATCGCAATCCAGATGTGCCCCTAGAAAACAGGCCTATGTTGGCAAACACGGAACTGAAGACCCAGTGTGAAGAGCCTCTCCTAGCTCAGCCAGTATGTTGAGAGGCAAGCTGGGGAAAGACAATTCAGGCTGTTGAATGAATAGCCCCCATAATCTAGGCTGATGGGAACTAGTTTTATTTCTGATTCAGTGTCTACAGAAAAATTAGCATGTCAAAAGTCAAGTTCATGGGTGAGGCCTTCCATTGAGGCCTTCTGATGGGAGTGTGAGACATGTAACCCCAGCACAGAGTGAGGACCTAGTTTGTAAGTGCTTGGAATGAGAAATCCCAGAGCCTATGAAACTGTATCAGAATATAATAATAATAATAATGTTTTTAAAAAGCACTTGGAGGCATCAACACATAGAGTAAGTCCTTGTTCATACTCCTAGTAACAGCAATAGGGATATTTTACATGCTTTATTTGGCCCTAACCAAAGCAAATGTGTGTGTGTTTGCATTTCATATGTAATACTCCAATTAAAAACATGTTGAAGTCATATTTCAGAACATCTGTGTCACAGAGAACAGAAAATAGGCCTCATAGCCTTGATTTTATGCTATTTATACTTCCTTCTAGGTTTTTGGTGATTTTTTTCCCCTTCATTTCTATAGCATTTACAAAGCAGTAATTCTGGGCAAATATGTTTTATTTATTCTCCCTGCATCCTACAAAGCAGATAAACCCATTTTACACATGCTCAGTCTAGATGAGTGTCTAGATTGGTCCATGTAGTATATATAAA